AGAGGGTGTGCCTTCCATCCTCAAATCTAAAAAAGATTGAGAGATTTTAAAAGGCCCAGGTGTGCCAAAGGTCAGAGGGATCAACACACAGACACAGCCATGGGAAAGAGAGGGGAAAGATTCCAACAGAAAACCAGTGCAAAAAGGGGAGCCAATGGAGGTAAGGAAGTTTCTGAATAATTAGAAAGTTAAGAATAAGCAAACTCAGTTGTCATGGGGGAAGGAGGTGGGGTGGGAAATAAAAAAGCAGTTGATGTGGTAATTAAGAATTTGGTGAGAGCCTAGGCAGGTCACCTCCTTTCTGAGATCAGAGCACCATCAGAAATTCTTTCAAGTGTCCTTCTGCGTCGCCAAAGATGACAACAGCAAATCAATAAGTGCTTGAAATGAAAGGGGATGTTGGCGAGCCCCCAGGCTACAGATTTCCCGCCGCCAGCCTTTTCTGAACTCCTAGCGTGCCTTTGCACCGCCTCTCTTAAGAAGAGCTACCTTTTATTCCTATCCTCAGGACGAAGGTAAGTGCTCAGTTAGCATATCTATTAAATGTCGGCTCCAGTTCCAGCTCTCGGATCGTGCGCAGAGCGGGCGGCCGCCGCTTGCCCGGCCAGCCCGCGAGGCAGTGGGAGAGGGGAAGGCTGGCCAGACCGCCACGGCCACACACCTCCGGGCTGGCCCAGCTGCTCCAGGATTTAGCGCTTCTGGGTTAGAGCTGGAAGGTCTCAGCCAGAGCAAAGGGCCTGAGCGACCGCGGGCACCGGAGCGCTCCTTCCACTTCGTTTATTTACAAACAAACACAAAATCATTAACAACAGAGAAGGACCAGAGCTCCAAAATTGGAGCTGGGAATCACCAAAACTCCATTCGGAGTTCCAGACTTTGGTCTGTTACCCTTCCAATACTCATCCCTCCTAAAGTGTCTTGATTGAACAATCTTTCCAGAGCCCAACACACCCCCGACTTTTTAATTAGGTAATTCATTAGTAAGTCAATACAGACATTTATATATTCTTTTAGCTCTTGTGGCTAAGTATTAATTTCAAAATGATTATAAGAGACCAGAATAGGCAACGCATAATAATTTTAATTTATATGCAAATCAATTGGTCCATCTTAAATGCCTTTAAAAAAAAAAACAATTATTGTATTGTAGCATCGGAAATTAGGATCAAACCGCCTGAAGAGACAATTCGGAAACAAGATCTGGACTGGCGAGAAAATTTAGAACAGTCAACAAATCAATAATGTTTGAGGCAGTTAAACATCTCTAGCCATTGGTATTTACATACTCGCTTGTTGTCAGATAAGGAGCTGGGGAAATTGCCTGCCAGGCTTGAGATCATAATCCAGAGTGAAGAAAGTAAATGGTAGCACGCTGCCCGTCGCCCGGGCTGTAAAATAATACTGTACCTTTCCCAAATCCTGACTCTTGGGCGGGAGAGGGCTCACCGAGGTCACCCCACATTTGGCCTCAGTCTTGCCCCGCTTTGATCAGAAAATTTTATGTCCTCCCAGAGCTTCACAATTTGATTCTTGTTCTAACAGTTCTGTCACTTGCTTCAAAATATTAGAGGGAAGGGTGTGATTCAGAATCTCACTAAAAATTCTCTGATCCTTTTCAGCCAGTACCCCTCCTCCTGGGCTGATTTGGGGGTGGGGGTGTTCAGTTCCCTGTGTTCCCCACACATTAAGTCAGAGAGCCGAAAAGACAGAGAGGATGGCTAGGGGAAATGGTTATTATCTTTAGACTTGGTTCAAATTTTTGGAAAAGTAAAAAAGATGTATACATCCGAGGAAATTTTTAAAAGACATTCTGGAACACTTAGTTTCATCAAGGATTACCAGGAGAACAGACCAGAGTTCTATATGTCAAATTGTACCACCCTCGAAATTCACAGATAGGTGAGGTCAGCGTCTCCCCAGTCGGGCTCCCAACCCAGGCGACCTGGCCCTTGAGGAGCTGGTGGTACCTTTGATGCTGCAATCTTGTTTACCACTGCAGAGCGGGGAGTGTTTGCTTTGCTTGGACGCTCCCTCCACCCCTTTCTAATTTGGAGTAATCGGAATCTAAATACAATCGCCACGGCCGGTCGCCAGGGCCCACTATTCCATTTCTGCTCTGACAGGGAAAAACCTGAAATCCACGTCTTACATCTGCTCGGTGGTTTGTAGCCCCCCAGCACCCTGCCTCTCCGCTGCATGCCTAATGTATTCCCCGGTGGTTCTGGGCATTAATTAGTTGTTTAATAGGAGTATGACTAAAAATGTAAAAGAAGGATTAGGAGCGTGAAACGTATGTCCAGCTCCTTCCACACACTCGAGGAGGGAATGAGAATCATTCTGTATCTTCTATTTCTCCAGGAGCCATTTGCATTTCCCACCAGCTGCTCACTTCAGCTGCACTGGCGCTGGGCGAGGCGAGGACCCAAAAGCTCAGCGCGGTGTCTGCGACCGCCGGACTGGGGTTAACCAGCCCCCGGCGGGCGAGGCTCCAGACAGAAGGGGGGCAAGGGGACGTGAGCTTCCCGAAGCCCCTACATCCCAGTCCGGGTTTGCAAACCTCTGAATCCGGAGGGGGAGGGGGCTGCACGCGCATATCTGCGCGTCTCCCCAGCGCAGCCCTGTTCTCTTTCCCTAGTCTCTCAGGGCCTCTGAATCTTCCTGTCTCTGACTTTCTCACTCTTTTCCCACTTTTCCGTGAGATCTCCCATTCTTGCCACCAGATGAAGATGAGGCCGTACTGTTTGCCTGTGTCTGAATCCATATAAAATGAAAAGAAAGTGGGGGAAAGACATTAACCCATTACTCAGGAGGGGTGGGAGAAATCCTTGATAAGCAAAGATGAAACTGTCTCTCTTGGACATTTGCTGGTACGCTATGACTTTAGATTTCAGTTGTAAGACTTGTTAATTAAATTTGATTTTCTTTCCTCAGCAAGATTGCAGAAATTGGAAATAAAAATTACCAGAGACAGAGGGGAAATAAAAATAAAACAGTACGTGGGCATTTCCCCCTTATGCCTCTTTCCTCAAATAAAACTGTCTTGAATTTTCACCCGGTAAAAAGAGAAAGTTTGAGTTTTCACGGATGTTACGTGAAGGTTAGTAATGGCTTTAAAATGTAGACCTCTCCTCAGTTTTCTTCATGGCTGAAGAGGCTAACCCTTTCCATAAAATGAGTCCATCTGTCGACTGTTAGCTATTTCAAAGTGAAGGGATTTAACATTCAAAACAAATTGAGCGAGTTTGTTTGCCTGTTTTTACTGCTAACTCAAATGAATTCAAAACACGGAGTAATTCAAGAAAACACATAACATGTTCCAGACAGCCCCCAAATGCAGAAACTCCCCACACCTATGTAATGACCTGGGTTTTTTAACAACAGGCCTTTTTAATGTACACACTTTCTCCCAACAAGTCATTTTTATTTTTGTAAAATTGCGAGAATTGGTACGTTGATTTAGGAAGAGCGATACAACTTTTAGAGAGAACTTTATTCTCTGTTGAGGGCCAAAAGGGAGGGCTCTTTAATGGCGGGCCTGGCTGAGTTTTGCTCCTATGTAGGAACTGATATTGGTGGGAAAACCCAACCGAGAGCTATGGCTGTTTTCCAACACTTTCCAAAAACATACATTAACAGGATGCCCTTGAGACTGGAAAAACTGTGCCCAATATGCCTAGCAGAAGCCTTCACACCTGGTCTTCCAGGCGAATCATATTTATAGTCCTTCCATCCAAGGGCCGGACAGGGCATAAGTGTCCAGCTTGCTACCAAAACACATACACTTGCTCTAGTCAAGAAATCGAAAAATCAGGGTTTAGAAGTAGGGCACACTTTTCGGGTGAAAATGACCTCTCTAAAGTCACATGTCCTTCGATTTTTGAGAGAAAATGTGGATCTGAAGGGAGCTTCTCTTCCAACCCCCACCACCATCCCGTGCAATTTAATACCGTGCTCGACAGGAACCTTAACCTCGTCATTTTAAAAAATGAGATATCCGTGACCCAGGGTGAACTCTTGAGTGTAGGTACAGCAGAGGAAATTCTAGACTCTACGAGAGGCTGAGCCTTGTCCAGCGCAATCTCTTCGAGTACACTGGTCAGTGTGCGTCAGTGCCCACTGGCGCGCGGACACTGGGTGCCGCGTACCTGTTCTCTTTGCCTTGACCTCGGGCGCGTGTGTCCCCGCCCTCATTGCTGAGCCAAGCGGCCAGGCCTTCCCGGGTTGACTTGTCTCGCCCGCTCGCTCTCCGCTGTCCCCGTTCACCCCACTCTTCCATAATTCTCCTCTGCCGTCCTCTCTCACCCCAACCCGTCAACCTTAACTCCAGCCTCCTGTCAGTCACTCCCTCCCTTCCTCCTCCCCACCCCATCCCTATCCCCAACCCCACTCCCGCAATCCCTGGTTTCTGTGGCCTCTCCCCTCCACCTTGCAGGCCTGAAAGAAGGTCACACACCCGCACACTCAAACTCACACCCTACAGGCCTAGTCTCAAACAATCCCTTGCACACTGTCCTTTGTTCCATTTCCTGGGCCACTTTCCCTGTCCCTTCCTCTCTATCAGTCCCGGTTTACTCCCCAGGAGTACCTTTCTGTCTCCCCGACGCCCTGGCCCTCCCTGTCTGATTTCTTCGAGCTCCTGGTTTGGCGCAGATTCCTTTTTCTCCTCCTCCCTCCCATCCTCCCTTCGTGTCCTCCTTTCCACAGTGGGAGTGCGTGCGCCTGCTGCTCGTCTGCTCCTGCCTAAGCGCCCTGCTCGACTCCCTCTCCTTCTCCGCTCTCCGGAGCTCGTTCTCCGGCTCTCGACTCCTTGGCCGGCCGGCATCCACCTCCCTCCCCTGCCTCGCTTCTCGGAGCCCCTGCTGGCTCCCCCCGCGCTCGCCCTAACGCTGTGCTGGTTCCTGCCCGTCCGCCGCGCAGCCCGGCTCGGCCGCCCGCCCGCCCGCCACTGTGCAGTGGAGTTTGGTGGAATCTCTGCTGACGTCACGTCACTCCCCACACGGAGTCGGAGCAGAGGGAACAGAGAGGGATGAGAGCGAGGGAGGAGAGAGAGAGTGAGAGACTGAGCGAGAAAGCTGGAGCGGAGCAAAAAGAAACTGCCAGTGACGACTAGATTCCGGAGGTCCCTGCACCCCCTTGGACTCCTTCGGAACTTGGCACCCTCGGGGAGCCCCGCAATCCTCTAGGCCCGGCTTTCGGGAGCTTGCGGTGCGGCCAGTGCCTGGCTCGCTGGAAATCTCCCCGGAAAACTGTGGGACGCGGAGACAGCAGCTCTCTCCCGGTAGCCGGTAAGTGGAGGCCGTCTGCCCCTCAAGGATGTGAGATAATGTGAGTTAAGAAATTTGTTCCACTTTGTAGAATCTTCACTGTAGGTGATTTGTAGCTCTTGGGGATGCCTCCCCCCTCCCCTCGCCCCCCGAGGTAACGCAGTTGGCAAACGGAACTTGCAAAGCCCTGTTCCTTTCGTCCCCAGTCGCAGTCACTAACTATCTATGGGGCGCTGAAGTCGAGAAGGAAGCGAGACCATGGCTGGCATTGAAAAAGAGGTATCTTCCCTTAAATCTCGGTGCCAACAAGGCAGGCACAAATCCTCAGGCTGAGGATTAGCATTCTCAAGATAAAGGGCTGGGAACAAAGTTTCAGCTACTGGAAGATTAGCCCCCTTCCCATTGTTACCAATTGTAAAAAAGATTCCATTTTAACTGGCAGTTAGTGACCTCTCAGGCCCAAACGAATTACCTGGGAGCCAGGACTGGATGCCAAACTCACACAATTACTTCGGATTATAAATCCTTTAAATTGATCACCAGTCAACTCCAGTCTTGCACTTTAGGAGATACATTTTAAATGCGTGCACGGACTATTTTCCAAACATCAAATAAGAAAAAAAAAATGATTCTAAACCTGAGAAATGTGATCCTCTTTTTAGTCCAATTTAATAGCTTTAACTTTCCTAAGCTATTTAGAAATCAAACCATCATAGGGTAGTCTGATTTTTACTTTTCTGTGTAAGTATTAAAGTTTACTAAAGTAAACTAAATTGGAAAATCTTTTACTATTATAAATTAAAATAACAGAAATACATACATCATAAAATATTTGTACAAAGAAAAACCTAGTTTAAGGAGATTTCCTTGAATTCTTCTTAGGCCATTAATTAGAATTAAAGATGGTTTCAATATCATTTTGGAGGATATTAATCTAAAACTCAAATACCAATTATGCCAAAGAAACAAAGCAATTAAGCCAAATAGATTGAGGATTTTTGTCAATGTAACACAAAATAACCATACGATGTTTCAACAATCAAACTTTCCCTAAAAATTAAATAGCTACTTTATTTATGGAATGTTTTACTTTATCTCAGCAAAACTACACTTAAATTATTCAGGTGCATTGTTTCTCAAGTTGAGCATGTTTGTCTTCAAGTGTTTCTAAAGCATCAATATTAATTGGTTTAAAAGAAAGCTTAAACTGGTAAACTAAAGAACTGTGTTATGCAGTATTTTAATTCCCTTAAATAATTACCTACTGTGAATTAATTTACTGGCTAATCTCACCAATTTAGTTCACTTAAAACATATGTTCTTATGCTGTTTATTTTTAAATTTTCCACTGAAGATTTTATTATAGGATATCAAAGTGAAAGAAAAGGGGAGAGAATGTGAAAGAATTTGGAATTATTAGTACTATATTTTTCCTGCAGTTTTTTTCTTATGACAATCATTAGAAATTATTTTTAAGCAAGTTGTTTTATTTCTTAGAGTTTGCTTGGCTGCCTTGGCTACTGTGGTTCCGTGTGCTCCGACAGTTGTGTGGTGCTTTTAGCGTGCTCACAAGAGAAAATTCAGTTTGGACAGAGCAAGATTGCCTGGCATATACATTCCAACCAGGACATGAACTGTTGGGGTGAAAACTTTCTATCAGGAAAAGTTGCACATCTTAATTTGTGACATTAGCCATCGAAGCAGTCCCTAAATCCCACAGCCAAATTTGTCTTTAAGACTTGTCTTGACAGGACAAGTTTACGGATCAACAGGCAGGAATAGGAAAATTATGTTTTTTTAATTTTTGGTTGTCTTCCTTTGTTATTTAGACTCAATTTATCTAGTAGGCCTGGTCATTATATGAAGTAAAAATAAATAAATAAGTGCAGGTCTCAGGGCTCATTTTGACTTCCAAATAAATCCCCAAGTCACAAGGACACAGTAGGGAGAGAGCTGAGGAACATGTCTTGACCTTCTTTTCAATCTTTACAGCTGAGTTCTTGAAGATTTGTTTCGTATTACTTTGTCTGGGCTTCAGAACTAAAGCTCGCGAGTAGGGGAGAATGTGTAATAATTGACTGACTTTAAATCCAGTGACCCGATCTTTTTCTTTTATATATTTTATTCTTTTAAAAAGTAAAAACTATTTGTAGTTACCATATGCAATGCTCCGGCCACCGGCTAATAATGCAGCCAGTTCAGACGTTTAAAAAAAAAAAAAAAAAGATTATCGAAATGATGATGACATGCAAATTTCCCCTGGAATTATCATAAGTAAACATTTGAAGTCTGGACTAATAAAATCCCATCTGTGTTACTTCATATCGAGTTAGTAGAAAGCTGTGATAATGAATTTTGTAATATCTCACGAACAGACATCTCAATCAGGGACTAATCCTGTGATTTTACAGCAGAATCTCTAAATCTGGAGCCGCCAAACTGCTACTTCTGGGCCGCGGGGCCCGCAAAGACCAGCGGAGCCCCCGCCTGCGTCCTCGCTAGCGGATGGGAAAACCATTTGGCAGTCCCCACCCTTGGGTGTCCACACCGCCGCTCCAGGCAGCCCCTCCGCTAGTCAGCTACTTTGGCCAGAGGCCCTGGGTTCGGGTCCTTCCAGGAGCGGCCGAGGAGCAGGGAAACGCGATTCAGGCCAGAGGCAGACCGCAGCTACCTGCCGGCCTCTGCCCCTCTGCCAACCTGGCAACGCCCTCGCCCACTCTCCGCCCCGCACTCGAGCGCAGTGGGCCCTCCCGCAGCGGCGTACCCTGGTTGGCTTGGAGCGAGGCGGGCGCCCAGATCGAAAGGTCCTGGGGAGTACGAGGCCTCCTTTCATTTCTTCTGCCTTTAAAGCAGCCCCATCTCTTCCACCCAAACCGAGAGAGCCCCTCACCACCCACTTCTCCCGGTTTGACTGTGGTAGAGAAGAGGGAGTGCGTTAAACGTTTGGCTCGCTGCGTTGTGGCTGGAAATTTGAAAAAGATTTGGTTTGCCTGGGAGGAGAAGAGGGAGAACTGGGGAAGCCGGTCTCTCGCAGCTATTTCTCTACCCGCGGTAGGCAATAAACCCTCGGGGGACGTTCGCCCCGCTCTTCCCAGTCCTCACACAGGCCACACCTTTTCTCCCCTCTGCGATCTTAAATCATACTTTAGGGTAAATAAATGGTCGGGTGAGTATCTCCAGGGAGAAGTGTGGCTAAATATGGAAAAGTGGCTCCTGATGGATGAGAGGACCAAAGCTGACTCGTTCCTGGAGACCCCTAAGCCGAGAGCCTTAAAGTCCTGTTTGTTTCAGAGTTACAGAAAATCAAGAGTAACTGCTATCTAGGATAGGAACAGCTTAACTCTGACATTCTACAAATGTTTACTGAGTTCCAACTAACCGACGAGTACTGTGCTGAATGGTGGCCTTTGCTTACAATTCCCCAAGTTACAAGGCCTTTCCCCGACCCCAAAGTTTGTGTCTGCTAAGGTTACCCTGGGGTTCAGATGAGCTCCTAACCCCTGACAGACACTCTGTGAGTAGTTCCACGGCCTAGGTCCCCAGAACGCGGGAGCTTTACAGGCCAAGAGCCTCTGGGCCCATTCGCTGCTGCTCTGGAGGGAGTTCTCCCCCTCCTCCCCACCCCCACCCCGAGTTAGGGTGGGGATGAAGTTAGGCAGGCAGTGGCTGTGAGGTCCGAGAACCTAGCACAGAGTAGGCGCGTACTAGGCGGTGTTCAAGTTGCCCTCACTAGGGAGCCTCCTTCGAGCCCTGCGCTTCCGCAGACCTCGTTTTCATACAGCCCCCCTTCTCTTCTGTTTTCCAGGTAACGGGGAATGGAGACCAACTGCCGCAAACTAGTGTCGGCGTGTGTGCAATTAGGTAAGACTCACTTCTCCTGCCCGGTCCCCCGACGGGAGCCCGCGCCACGCGAGGGCAGAGAGAGGGCACCCGCCCAGCGGTGTGTGGCGCTTTTCGGAGGGGCTGGCCAGGGCAGGAAGGAAAGCAGAACCCGAAACGGGGGAAACCGCGTCCCTAAGCCCACGGCCTATTCCCCTGAACGGGAGCTTCTGGCAGACCGGGAGGCGCGGAGAGCGGACGCCCCCGGCGCCGAGTGGCCCAGAGGGTCCGCGAGACGAGAATGGCCGCAGCTCTTTCTTCTAACTGGGCATTTGCTCTTTGTCCCTCTTTCTCCTCCGTCCTGCTTTCCCCACACCTCGTACCCCGGCTTCTTTCCGCGGCGGCACGTGGGGCTGATGCGCCTGGCCCAGGCGTGCAGCCGGCGGCCGTTGAAGGCCTCTTCTCCAAAGACTCCGAAATCAAAAAGGTCGAGTTCACGGACTCTCCCGAGAGCCGGAAAGAGGTGGCCAGCAGCAAGCTCTTCCCGCGGCAGCATCCTGGCACCAATGGTAAGGCCGGGAGCGAAGCGCAGGCTGCGCGAGCTGGGCACCCGCCGCCGAGCCTCTGGGCCTCTGGGCCTCAGGTGAGGCGCAAGCAGGCGAGCCCGCCAGACCGGCGCTCCTGCCCCTCGAATTTAGATACTCGGCTTCTGGGTGGGACGAGAAACTGCCGTCCCAAGGAAGTTCATTCCTTTCCCCAAATCAAACTGCACTCCTGAGATCCAACACCTCTCCCTCTGGCTTTCTTACTCTTCCCTTGTGGCCTAATCTACGCACACCCCAACCTACTTCGGTGCCACAAACTGGCGTGAAAAAGTTGTCCAACAGCGACCTCTGTCGCTCGCCACTACCCACTGCGGGCAGCACCGTCAAGGGCCCACCCTGTCCCGGCGGCTCTCAGCCGCGCCCCGCCCAGGCTTGTGGGTGCCGAGTTTACTGCTGAAGGGGAACATGGGAGGCTTGTGTTGGCGAAGATTCGCCTGGCTGAGGAGTTGGAGGAGCTGACAACAGCCCTCAGAGCCAGAGGACAGCGAGTGTGCGCAGCAACCAAGGGTGGGATTGAGTGTGTGCTCCCGTCGACACGAACCTACCTGTTGTGCTGGTTGCAGGGCCTCGAGTTTTGGTGGTGTTGTTGCTCGATTGACTGGTTTCACTCTGGACGAGTCAAGGGACATTGCTGCTCAGAGTTTGCAGGCTTGTGTAAAACTTAAAACTACCCCAATCCATTGCACAAGCCTTTGCTAAATTGAAACTTGTCCTTTGATTGTGTGTGTGTGACAGGACAAGATTTCCTTGTCATACGTGGAAAAACTCTAATTTACTGTTTCTCTAGTCTCTGGGTTTTCTAGGCTCCTTAATAATAAGGGCCCTGCTTTAGGAGGTTGTTGATTTTTGATAGTGTGAGGAGATAAAGCGACCCCCCTCCACCCTCAGCCCTCGGCTCCTAACCCCCTCTTTCCGGATTAAAGAGTAAGGATACAAATATAATGGGTGCCAGAGGGGGTCGAATTGGGACCCTGGCCAAGTAAATAAACCAAATTACCAAGAGGAAAACAAAGGCCCTGCATTCGGGCTTCCCAGTGAATCTGAGAGAAAAACATCATTTGTTGAAATAAAACGTCTAAAGTGGTCGGGAGCAGACCTTCCTCGACACTGCACAATATCGCGAGTCCCCCTGCTGGGCCAGTTAAATGCTCACTTGTCCAGGATTAACCCCATGGGGTTAAATGGGGCCATGCAGAGATAAGGTCGGGTGATTTCTGTCATTAAGATTGTGTTAAATTCTTCTTCTGTTTGATAATCGGTCGTAAAAATAAATTATTAGACCGGAGTATGTTTGGGATATGGTTAAAAATCAAGAGCAGCCATGACTCCTGGGGGAAATACTTTGTGCAGGTTCAGCCCTGGCTCCAGCCAGACTAGAAGAGCTCCCCAATCTGACTTCGCACAGGGCGGACTGGCCGCCGCCCAGCCGAGGCTGACATTTCTCGCTATGCTGGGAGCTGTAGAAACGCGAAATGTCTCCTCCTACCCCCACCGGCACACGAGGTTCTTTGACCTCAGGAATGTTTTGTTTTGTTTTGTTTTTTTGTTTTGTTTTGTTTTGTTTCGAGTATAGGTGGACTCCGTGCGAGCTGGGGAGGCAGGGCCCCTTAGAGGGGAAGCCTGGGGTGGGATGGGGGCTCCCTCGGTGGGGAAGTGGCGGCCCAGCTGGGGAGCCCTGTCTAGTACTGTCACAGTTCTGGCAGACAACCCTGGACTTTCGTTTTTAATAATTAGCAAATAACTCGGAATAACCATTTCTTTCAAGCCCAGATCATTTTAATGCACATGAAGGGCTGTTCCCCGGCAACACCTATAGTCTCTTTTCTACCTTTCAGACCCAAAAAGAAAATTGCTACCCAAACATATTTAATGTTATTAGTGAAGAAGAGGCATGTGATAGTAAGAAATCCTGAAAATCTTGACTTTATTGGCTTTTAGGGATCTGACAGGCAAAAAAAAAAAGTCACACTGAGTAGGAAAAAGCTATAGTACCCATGGAGGGAGGTTACCAGCATCCCCTTTACTGAATATAAGCAAATTTAACTTATGTAATAAGCAAACTCCTGGCCACAGCCTGCTTTTAAAAGAAAGAGAGTTTTCTCCTTTGTGTTTTATAGCTTTTATTTGCTTTTTAGAAGAAAAAAATGTTTACAATAACATGAAATTTTTCAAAAAGAGCCAATATATTATCAGCACTACCCTCTCCTCACCCATAAAACCCCAGATTCTCGTTGAAGGCTGAAACCATTCTCCAAGCGAGCAGGGAGGACTTCTGGGACACGCAGACCCAGCGTCCCTTCCCATCCAGTCCCAGTCCCCTTGATATCCCTTGGTCTTCCCCACAGCCTGGCTCAGAACCCAGAGATGGGGCATGAGGTCAGCTGGAGACCTCTTAGGCCAGAGCTTTGAGAGCGAGTGGAAAGAGGAATGACTGGGCACAGCAAGCGGAGCGAGAAAAAAGTTGGCACGTTAAGCAACAGCCACCAGAAGTAAGAGGCAGAGACCCTTGAGAACTTCTAGAACAGAGGTCCTTGGTATTTCCTTATTCAGGTGCCTTTGCAAAATTAAAAAAAGTGGGCTTGACCTTCAGGAAAAAAGTGGACTGATCCCCTGTCAGTAAGCTTAAAGTTTCAGGGTTGTGGCTCTGGATTCGCGGCTGAAATCAATCCAAGCTGTCTCCCCTTGGTCCTGGCACCTGACTTCCTGACCAAACCTGGGGTGGGAGACCTTTGCCCGGCCTCCCCCAACGATGCCATGAATTTTAAAATAGGTTTGGCACAGTGGCTGGATTGAAAGTGTTCGACTTGGGCCTCTACTCTTCGAAAACTTCCTTCCCTTGGGAGGGAAACTTCAAGGCCCGGTGCGACACGCACCCCCTTAGGGGGCAACAGCTCCGTCCCCCGACCTCTTCAGAAGACCCGGGATAACCCCGCTGCGTCGGCGGCCGAAGACTCCCCAGTCATTCAATCAGCAAATAAATGTTTGTCGAGCACATACTATGTGGGTTCCTAAGTACCACCTGAAAGCAAACAATCCCGGTTCCTTCCACAGTTATGAAGCGACTTTAATGCTAACAGGGACACCAGCGACAGCAGCCCAGACTCTCGGCAGCAAAACGCGAAATGGTGGTGCGCGGGGCGGCGTTCAGGGCCTAAGCATTGTCACAAAAAAAAAAAAAAAAAAAAAAAAAAAAGAGGGGGGAGGTACTGTTTAGAAGGGTGCAAGGCTCCCAATGCATTTCCCAGGCAGAAACCGGGGACTGCCCATGAGCCTAATGTCTGAGCAGAAGCAACGAGCGAGGAGAGCTGGGTAGGGAGAGGAGATTTCCATTTTCTTTTGGACTCTCTCTGCAAATCAGCAGTTGGCACAAGCTGCCTTTCCGTTTTGTGTTGTAGTCCCCCGACCCCATCCGAGGATAGTCGAACGGTGGTCCCAAGGGACTCCCTGAGGATCCCCGCCCTGCAGAAGCAGGGTTTACGGGTCGCGTTCCTCGCTCCCGACTGGGTGCGCGCTCAAAGTTTTGTCAGGCTGGTGCGGCCTTTCTCCGCACCGCCCGCTGCTAATATATGCAGCAGTTGTTAGCGGGGCTGGGGATGGGTGGGGGGAAGAAATGTATAACGAAAGCTTATTCGTGAGCAGGAATATACTAATGGAACAATCCGATGTCTTCTTAATCCTATGTAAAAAGCTTTGTGGTCTTCCTAATATTGACTGAATGGGTAATTAATGGCTCTTCATCTAGCCGAATACGCTGTAATCCAAAAATAGGCAAAAGACAACAAGCCCAAGGTAGAGACAAAAAGCCCAACTGCGGCTACCACCCGCCACTCCCTCCTCCCATCACCACTAAAAGCAGGGCTCCAAATGGGAGAAATTTCCTCTCTGTAGAAAAAAAAAAAAAAAAAAAAAAAAAGCCGGAGCGGTAGAATTTACGTACCTTTCCTGGGCTAAACTTCACACACGACCTGGCCACCCAGTTCCGTCCTCCACTACTTGGCCTTTTCCCTACCAGTCCTTCTCTCTTCGTTTCTGTCTTCTCAACTCCTCTAGGAAGTCGCCCTCATTATGGTTCTGAACAGCACTTTTTTTTCCCCCCTCCAAAGTCTTTATCTTTCATTTGGGGAAGTGATTGGTATCAGAGGACCAACACACAGGTCCTCAGAAAGCTCAGGCAAAGGAGCAAGCTCCTTCCTCATCCAGGTGGAGTCTCCTTTCTTTTACAGTCCAAGGCAGAGAGTCTTTGAGGGCTAAGGTAGTTGGGAGAGAACAGAATAAATTAATAGAAAGAGAGAGCACATGCAAAATTGTGTATCTGTATTAAAGAGTTGATCAAGAGTGATGGAGTCAACTTCATTGTGAAGATCTGACAGGAACAGTGCCCAAGATTCTCCCAGCATGTTTCTAACAGGCTGACATTTTAATTCAAACCTTTAGAAGTAATATATTACTTGGGTTACTACAATGAGCTGGGTTCCTTTTTTGTCAGCTGACAGCTTTTAAAATATTATTTCGCTAGGGAAATAAAAGCTTCATCTCAGATTATAGGTGGGTATTTTTGGATTTATGTGATTTATGGTCACCATGACAACTAATGCTGAATGTTAGCTACCAGCATGCCTAGGAGAGGGAAGACAGAAAGAAGAGAGAGTAAAAGAAATAGAAAAAGGAGACAAACATAAGCTGGAAAGGGAGAAAGAAGAAAATAGAAAGAGAGAGGATATTTTAATCCAATAGTTGTTTTGATTTTTAAGTGACTTTAGTTAGTCCCTTGCCACTTCTCTCTCTCTCTGTCTCTCTCTCTCTCTCTCTCTCTCTCTCTCTCTGGACCTGAATTGAAGTGTATCTTATTCCCATTTCTGTCATTCCCCTACCTTAACAAACATTTATACATTCTCTTTATTTTACTTTTAATGACTAGTTGCATTGCCAGATTAAATAAGCACCTAGTAAACCAGTAGGGCTAG